TGGAGCAAAGGAGAATGAAGAACACCAAAGACACAAGGAAAATATTAGCTCAAGAGACAAAAAGGGCTACATAAAGCAGAGATTCCATCAGCCTGAGACCAGAAGAACTGGATGGTGCTCAGCTACCACCAATGACCACCCTGACAGGAAACACAACACAGAGTCCCTGATGGAGCAGGAGAAAAGTGGGGTGCAGAACTCAAATTTTAGTAAAAAGACCAGAGTTAATGGAGGGACCCTGGAAGACATGGCCCCTGAACTCTCTGTTAGCCCAAAACTAAAACCATTCCTGAGGCCGATTCTTCAGACAAAGATTAGATTGGACTATAGGACATAAAATGATACTTGTGAAGAGTGTGCTTCTTAGCTCAAGTAGATACATGAGACTAAATGAGCAGCTCCTGTCTGGAGGTGAGATGAGAAGGTAGACAGGGTCAGGAGCTGGTTGAATGGACAAGGGAAATCGGGTGGAAAGGAGGAGTGTGCCGTCACAGTATGGGGAGAGCAACTAGGGTCACATAACTAAGTGTGTATAAATTTTTGTATGCGAAACTAACTTGAATTGTAAACTTTCACTTAAAGCAAAATAATTAAAAAAAAAACTGATTAAATACAAATTTTCTAAACAAACTATCTTCACAACTAGTAAAAACTACAAATTTTATAACTTGGTTGAAGTCTCTTAAGGATTCTATGAAGACACACAGCTTTACAGGCTTTGGATGCCGGGAAAGCATCCATATACACAGCACTAACAGCAAAGTGGGTGACTCTTAACACAGGACCTCCTGCTGTGGAATTTGCAGGCCCCGGATGAAATAAAAGCATGGAGCCCCTTGCTCAAAAAGCAGGAAAGATGCACAGCTAAAGGTACTAGAATGTAAAATGTTTTCCTTTCTTCCATTATCTCCCTCTCAAACTATTACTTTTTTTTGTTATCAATGCTAATTATTACAATATAATAATAATAATTATTAATGCTAATTAATTCCCTAAAGCCCCTTTGGGCATGGGGATACTCATAGGGCAGTGCAGATCCTCACAGGTGCCTGGGGGCACCGCCTTGAGACTTGTCATATGTGTGCCTGTGTGCGTGTGACCCACTGCTGCTGGGTCCCCTCACTCCCTCCTGGGGGCGGTGAGTCCAGCCAGGCATCTCCCTCTCCCACAGCGCTGCCACACCAACCCAGGGCAGATGGGCGACACACAAGAGGTTACATCTCCATGCCAGGACCTGCAGGGGACCTGGACTGCACTGTGGCACTGCCAGCCTGGAGTGGGGATGGTTACCGCCCCACCCTGAAATGCCATGGGCATGTGCACCTCACCCTGACCCTCCCCATGTCCAGGCTCCCACAGGGCTGGGCAGCAGTGGTCACTAACTGGGAGCAGGGAGGGCTCCACAGGGCGAGGGGGCGGGCAGCCCAGGACCGGTCCTGGGGAATCAGGGAGATGGCTGGAGGGCGACCACTGTGAGCAGAGGCGCGTGCTCTGCTGTCCCATTGGACTTCACTTACAGAACACAAATGTAAAGTAAAATTGTCAGTGATTTCAAGACGGCAGTCACAGAGCATCCAACCCCAAGTGTGGGCTCTTCTGAGTGTGGGTCCCTGGCCACCGCACCAGGCACACACCACAATGCTGACCCAGCACCTACACGTCACGGACACAAAAATACCGCGCCGAGGGCTTTCCCATTACTTCCATACGTGCTTTCCCACCTTCTGGAGGTTAGCTAAATCCCACCAGACAGAAGAGAGATATCCTCTCAGACCAGATTGGGGTGCAGCTGAGTGCTCTGGGAGATGCAGCCCCTCTGGGCCTCAGTGTCCTCGCATACACAGTGGGGATAGAGGCGCTCAGGAGGTGATACAGGGATGGCAGCTGGGGAGGGCTCGACCTGCGCCAGCCCCATGCTCCAGTACGAGGGCTTGCCCCCCAGAGAACTGTGCATTGGGCCCCGCGGGGCAGCCTGAAATTGGCTCTGGCCACCGCGCGGGTGGCTACTCTGCTGCTGGGGGAGGCTGACAAGGCTTCGCTGCTTGGACGCATGTGACCCTCCTGTGAAAGGCTGCCCAGAAGGAAGACTGCTGAGAGAGAGAGACAGTGGGCAGATGGGAAGGCAAGCCACGCTGAGCCCCAGCTGCTTCAGACACCATCTCCCACGTGAGAACCTGAAGCCCCAGAAAAGCCTGTGGTGGCAGATCTCTCACCTGCGGAATTAATGCTCTAAATAAGAGAAGACAGGAGAGCGTGGAGCGTGTGTCCGAGGCCTGGGATCTTGCCAACCAGTCTCCCAGTGATGGTGCAGCTTAGTAAGCTGGCAAGGTGCACGGGTGGGCAGTGTCTGCCAGGGCCGGGCCTCGCCTGCCTCCCTTGCTGACCCCAACCTCAATTCAGCAGCTGGGTGAGTGCCTGTTGCTTGAAGAAGTAACACAGCGGCTGGACTCTTGGCTTGTGGCTCTAAGTGGCCAGGGTCTGGTGTAGGACAGGAGATTTGAGAAGGGGTGTGAACAGGCAGCACATCCCTTCCATCTTCCCCCAAGTCTAGAGAAAGAGCTCTGAGCTTGAGTTTGGGAAAGAGAGGAGAGAGGCAGGAGCTGGGTAGGTCCCCTGTGGGTGAAGGTCATCCTGGATGGTGTTCTGCACAGTGGCCGGGGGCCCTGCTGCCTGTTCTGAAATCTCTGGACCGGGTGGGCGCTCGCAGGGGCAAGCTTGCCCCGTAAGTGTGGCCCAGCAGGAGTGCAGGCAGGCCTGTGGCAGGGGAGGCTGCATGGGGGCCCTGGAGTTCCTAGGGGCCCCAAGGGTGAGGAGCTGAGGGTGCCATTTGGGAGAGCTAGGATGCACCTGGGTGGGGGGCATTGGAACAGCTGTCATGGGAGCAAGATGCCTCTAGTAGGAAGACAATGCAGGCCGAGAAGGGGGGCCCCTCTTCCCAGTGGCTGCCTGGGGGTGGATGCTTGAGCGCCTAGGAGCACAGCACAAATCCAGAGGAGAAGGATGTGGGGAGGAGGATCTCCTACAGAGCAGTTAACCTGCACACGTGAATGAAGGGCCTGAAGGGGCACAGACATCCCCGGGTTGAAGCTGAGAAAACCTAGAAGTGACTCTAAAGCTGGTTGCCATCAGGCAGCCTGGGGACTTGAAGAAAGAAAAGTAAGTTGAATTACTGAACTCAAAGCTGCATCCCTGAATTGTATGGATATGATGTTTAAACAATCTACGTCAGCAATGCTCCTTAATCAACAGGGCCAAACGAAGACTCAAACAAGGAATAAAAATGATAGACAAAAATGCAACCAGGTTATGGACTGAATGCACCCTCCAAAAGACATGTTTAAGTCCTAACTTCTAAGACCTTGTTTGGAAGTAGGGTCTTTGAAGACGTTATTGGTTAGGTTAACAGGTCATATTGGAGTAGGGTGGGTCCTAATCCTATATGTGCAGCGCCTTTGAAAAGAGACACAGCGATAGAGAGAGGCAAGGTGGCCACGTGACAACAGAGGCAGAGACTGGAGTAGTGCTGCCAAAAGCAAGAACACCCCGGGCTGGCAGAAGCTGGAGGAGGCCAGAGAGAATCTTCCCCTAGAGCCTTCAGAGGCAGCACCACCTTGCTGTCACATTGATTTGAACTTGTAGCCTCCAGAAGGGTGTGATGACATATTCCTGTTGATCAACATCACCCAGCCCGCGGCTTGCATATGGCAGCCCCAGGAGATGAATACAAGGGTAGACTGCAAGGAAAACCCACTGAGCTGCCAGCGGTGGGTGCCCTTCTACACCCCGTGCGCTGGCTCCTTTAGGGGCTGTCCCAGGAGGGCATTGAGGTGGGCCTCCCACAGGCTGCAGGATGCCTGCCTTGGCTCCAGCCCCAGTTGCGCCGGGACGCCCCAGTTCTCTGGCATGTCCACCCTTGGAGGCACAGCTGATAGTGCCCAATGCTCACCAGGACACACCAAGGAGGGTGTGGCGACGGTGATTCAGCAGAGACTTCATTTTTGAATAGTGACTGCAGCAACACTCACCTCATGTGGGCCTCTTAGGACAGGGACCAAGGTGCGGGGGGGGGGGCAGAAGGAGGGTCAAGAGGAGTAGACATAACTTGGAATGTTTCTGAGGTCACAAACTCACACTGTACTTCAACTTCCTTGTGCAAATAACTCAGCAGAATGGAACTTAATAAAAGGAATGCCTTCTTCACTACTCTGCAGAAAAAGGGTGCCTGGGAGACATCGGGATGAGGGTCTCTGTGGGAAACACGCTATATGTGAAATTGTTTGTATTGTCATTTCCTCTTTGATTAATGTGTTCAGAATAAGCAAAGACACGTAAAAAGAACTAAGGCTATGTAAAAAATTAAAGCTTTTAAGTCAGTCGTAAAAGGACAAATACTATACGATCTCACATGAAATAAGCAAATATATAGGAATCAAAAATTATTATTTTTTACTAGGGGTGGTAAGCGGGAGTTTTTGCTTAGGGGGTATTGAGTTTATATTAATGGTGGAATAATTTGGAAAAGGATAGTGAGAATGGTTATACAACTTGAAGAATGTAATCACTGCACTGAATTATACACATAGAAATTGTTGAGTTGGCGTATGTTTCGTTGTGTACATTTTCACCACAATAAAAAGAAAAACAAAAACAAAAGCAATCTGAAGGCTTTGTCCCTCCCTCACCTCGCCCGCCTCTGTACCTTTGAGTGTGTGCACAGTCAGACCCACTCCACAGCAGGGGTGGAGCTCCCGGCAAGGTAGGGATGCGGTTAGCGTTCCCTCACAGACTGAAAACACCCACCACTCGGTGGGCTTCTCACGCTCGGAAACCCCTGCATGCTTGTTCAAAGTGGTCCTTCAGGTTTTAATGCTGCAATAAATGTGCAAGGCCATGACGTCCAGGACCATCTCCATTTCAGGATGATTAGCTGGCGGGCCCCTGCTGCCCAGGATACGACTGTCTGGTGTAGAGATCAAGGCCCCTGCAAGTGGCAGACTCACCAACACAGGTCTGGCAGGTGGGGTGGCACTCCCCGCATCGGATCAGCTCTGAGTCAAAGTAGGTGCCTGGCTCACAGTCTGGAAGGCAGGTATCCCTCACAAGGCTGTTGGAAAGAAAACAAGGCAGGTTCCCAAATTCATCCCAAAGTCCAAAGCAAGTTACAGTTGCCCTCAAAAGCCTTTTACGAGAAGACACGAAAGTTCCTGAAGCACAGCTACTTGTGTCACTTAACAGCTAATGAAAGCAGAGAAGCTGTACTGTAGCCAGCTGAAGGCCCGCTGCAGTGGGCATCCTGGGTCTGGGGACCAGGGCCACCACCATCAGGCCATTGGCCCCAAGGCTCCCCCCAAGGTCCCGCGGTCCTTCTCTCCGTGCAAGAGCCCACGTACTCGGGTTCTCTCCTGGTGGCTTCTCTTCACTGATGTTTCCCAAACTCAAGAGGGGGCACTTGAGCACATATGGGTGACCCCTGAGGGCACACTGGCCCAGTGTGATGGCTAATTTTATGTACCAACTTGGCCACTCTATGATTCTCATTGGTTTGGCAGATACTGGACTGGTTGCTGTTCTGTAATGTAATGTCAAGTAACATCATGTCATGTCATGTCATGACCTTCCATAATGTGATCTGATGTGATCAACCAATCATTTGAAAGAGGAACTTCCTTGGGAGTGTAGTCATCCTCTAGTATATCAATGGATGTCCTGGCAAAGCTCGCTCACGACCCTGCACACTTTGCGTCATCTGACCTCTGGTTTCCGGGACATAAGCTTGCAGAAGTCTCTGGCCTGCTGCCTGACCTGTAGATTTTGGATTCGCTAGCCTCCACAATCCCATGACTCAGCAAAGGTCTCCAGCCTGCTGCCTGACCTATGGATTTGCGACTTGCCAGCCCCACAACTGTGTGAACCATTTCCTTGAAGTATCTCTCTATATGTATTTATACACATATATACGTTCCACTGGTTTTGCTCCTCTAGAGAACCCAACTGAGACACACAGGCTCACCCTGGTCTGAGCCTTCCGTGAGGTTTTGGCATTTATAATTGTGTAATAAAGAATTTAATTTTGCCTCAAAAGATGTCTGACCTTTGTCTTGGCTAACAATATGATTTAAGATGGGGGCTGGCCATACCTTACGGTGAGGACTGGCCTTGCCAGAAAGACCAACAATGTGATTTAGGGTGGGGGTGTGGGTAACACCCAGAGGGGCTGGAGACTGAGATCAGCCATGTGGATAATCAATCATGCCAACATGATAAAGCCCCAATAAAGACTCTGGACACTGAGGCTGGGGGAGGTTCTCTGGTTGGCAATACTCTGTGTACATTGTCACACACCGATCCCAGAAAAGTAATGCATCTTGACTCCCCTGGGAGAGGACGTGTGTGGTCCTTCCCCTGACTCTGCCCCATGCGCTGCTTCCCTTGGCTGATTTTGATCTGTATCCTTCGCTGTAATAAACCACAACTGTGAGTAGAACAGTTTCCAGTGAATTCTGTGAATCCTTTTAGCAAATCACGGAACCTGAGGGTGGTTTTGGGAATCCCTTGAACTTGTGGTTGGTATCAGCAGTGAGTGGGTCTTGTGTGGACATGGCTCTCTCTAACTTTGTAGTTGGTCAAAACCCTCGCAATACCATGTGAGTGGGGTGGGGGTGGCAAGGCTGATCCTGAAACCCACATTTGCTCCTGCTGCGCCCTGGCTTGAAATCTTCTGTGGCTTCACAAAGGACTTCAAATTTAACCCACTACTAGGACCTACCAGGCCCTGTTTCCTTCTTTAACCTCACTGGGTGCCTGCCCTCTCCTTGTTCCAGTGAGGCAGTGTGTGATGGTCAATTTTATGTGTCAACTTGGCTAGGCTATGGTTCCCAGTTGTTTGGCCAAACACTAGTCTTGTTGCTGTTCCATAATGTAATCTAATGTAATGTGATTAGCTTACATGTAATGTAATGACCTCCATAATGTAATCTAATCTAATACAATCAATCAATCAGTTGAAAAGGAAATTTCTCTAGGGTGAGCTGTGCCTCCAGACTATAAACAGACACTTTGGCAGGACTCTGTGCCATACTCTTCCTGTCACCTGACCTACAGATCTTGGACTTGCCAGCCCCTCACAGTTGCATGAGCCCACTCCTTGAAGTAGATCTTTCTCTCTCTTTCTCCCTCTATATATCACTGGTTCTGTTTCTCTAGAGAACTCTGACTAAGACACAGCATATGTGCAGCTCATGAGCATGGACTCTGGAGCTGGGCTGCCCAAACTGGGACCCAGGCTCTGCTACTTCCTAGCTGTGCAACCCTGGGCAAGCCACTTAGCCTCTCTGGGCCTCTGTTGACGGGTTCAGTGGTTCCTACATCACATGGTGCTTTGAGGACCAAATGAGCTAATGCATGTAAAGCATCAGAGCAGCATCTGGCACATGGCAAGTATAAATATTATTTCCTCACTTCCTGAGATTATGCTGTGTTTGATACAAACATTTTAAATGGCTTTGCCACTAAACCTATTTTCCAAGGTCTCTGGGTGTATCTGCTGGAGCCAGACTCCTGCATTAAGGGGACAGATGTCTGTTGCAGGCTGGGGACCCACAAGCCCCTCCCCGTGGAGGCGAACACACACCCAGGGCTCTTCCTCACCACACATCAGGGCTGCTGCGCATGCAGTTAAATCATGCCTCTAATAACCGCTGCTTCCTTCCCCCTTTAAATCTTCCTGTATTTCTTCCCCTAAAGAGAAGGATCGCCGGAAGGCAGCACCGCAGCTGGTCTCTTCAGTGCTTTAGCATGAGAGTGACAATTTGAAGTCACAGCTTAAGAGGACATTGGGCAATTAAAAAAAAGCTTTTGGTGGATTAGGGCTGCCGATGTTTTTCAGATTTTGCTCACCTCTCTGGAAGCTTGCCCTTGCTGGGACCCACTGCTTTTACCTGTGTGGCTACTACCAAGAGCCACTTCTCCTCGTGATACCATTCCTGAACTGAGTATCTGACCTCACCTCTCCCACAGAAGCAGAGAGGAGTTCCCTGGGAGGCGGGCTCTAGTGAGTTGGAACCATGGGTCATCCCTCCCTGACCCCTTCAGTTTCCAGGGTGGGGTTGAGGATCATAGCAGGAGGTGTCGTCCTGGCTGGCCGGGCCTGGGACCTCACAGCCAGCCTCTCCCAGGCCCCTCAGTGGCCACCATTGCCAAGTACATGGCTCCTCCTGCTTCTTCTTGCCCTTTTCCCTTCTGGAGATGTCCTTCCTAACCAGTTCATCCCTCCACTCCTAATCCTTCCCTGTCCAGCTAACAAGTTGAAATGACAGCAGGTTTGGTAAGTATTGCTTTGGGGGCTCTGCTTCTGTCCCTTCTCCAGACCCCAGGTCTGTGGACCCTTTTCTTCCCAATTCCCTGGTCTGGAAGAAAGGGGCAAGATATAAGCAACCTCACTGAGGCAGTGACCCAGTGCTTCCCAGGCCAGGTGTTTGTAAGTGGGCACAATACAACTATCTACTTCATGGGTTGCTGTGAAGATTATAAATGAGGCAACATTGCTGGAAGGACCAAGAATAAGAGCAGACGCTCAGAAAGTTTGCTTCCTTCCCTTCTTCCTCCCAAAGAACAGTCTCCATTGGTGAATCTCAGTCCTAGCAGCACTGGGGTGGAGGGAGTCTGAAGGCAGGAGGGAGGTGGGCTGAAGTCCTCTAGGTCCTCCCGACGCAAAGGGTGCTACTGGACCGCAGTAGGTGCATCGCCTGGGAGCATTAGAAATGCAGAGTCTCAGGCCCCACCAGACCTGCTGGATCAGAATCTGCATTTTCACAACAGCCCTGGTGATTCCTGCACACAGCATGGGGTGAGACGCGCTATTTTAGCTGACCTTTCCCCTTTCTTCCTAAAATGCAGGCCTGGCTTCCTTTCCATGGCATCGCTTCCTTTCCATGGTGGGAATGTTCGCAGCATGATTTCTAATAAAGTAGTTTCTACATACTAACTTGGAAGAACAAATACTGTACACTTGATTGCATTCAACAGGCTAAACAAGCATTTAAACATATTCCAATAGAAACCATTATCCCAGTAACATTTTTTTAAGGGAAAGTGTGCTGAGCTGAGTGGCACAGGGGAAACCAGGGATCTAAAGAACTTCCTCAGGGACCAGGGATCTAAAGAGCTTCCTCAGGGAGCAAGCTCCCCAACTGGAGGAAGATATGAGAAACTGGGGAAAAAAGAGAGATAGGAGAGCAGGGTGGGTGGTGCTCCCCCACAGTCCACCCCTTGCCAGGTCCGGGAAGGAAAGTGGAGGAGGTGGAGTTACTGGCACCTAAAAGAGGGGAGACCTGTGCCTCCCTTAAGAGCTCCTCACCCTTCCAGCAGTAAGCTCTACTTTATACTGCCACAAACTGTTGCTTTTACCAATTTTCCAAATGTATAAAATCCAGAAATTTCACCCATCCTCTAACTTCCCACCCTAAACAACAATAATCTATAAGTGGAAATATGATTAACAGATTCGGAATCCTTACCCTGAGAGGCTTTGGGCCTCTGAAATTTTAGCTTTTAGGAAAAGATGCAAAAACTTCATAAATCAATTACGCGATCCCCAAAGAGTATACACCCATTGGCATTCTTCAGGTTTGAAGTGAAGGCCTTACCTGAATCCTTCTTTACAGATGGTGCACTTCTCTGGCTCATCAGTACACTTTTTACAGCTTGGGTGGCATTTAAGGCAGTTTTTCTGACCTGGAGAAAAATAGCATGATGAGGAAAAGGGGAGGGGAAGAACAGCGGCAAATGGAATCTGGGCACACAAGACTGTAGCGTTGCAAAGTGGGCTGCAGGAAGAGCTCTTCACCAGGGCTGGTCTACAGAATGGACAAGAATTCATGAGACAGCCAAAGGCCATGGTGAGAACAGGTGCTCAAGTGTGGGATCACGGAGCCTCTCTCTTCTCCTTCCTAAGGTAAATGAAGGTTCTCCAGCAAGCGTGAGGCTTCAGAGGTGGCCCCTTTCCAGGGGAGACCTGCCCAGTTCTGCTCATTTCCACAGGGACTGAAGCCAACACTGGGCAGACGAGCCAAGAGATTAATCAGGTGCAAATCTTCATCAAAGTGACAGGGAGCCTGGTCGTCTCTCAGCTCAGTGTTTTCACAGGGGGTCTCTGCTGAACCCATGACAGCCCACCACCCCTTGTGGGGAACTCTGGGCAACCACAGCTCCCACCTGCGTTTGCATAAGTTACGATCTAGATCACTCACTGTGGCACCTCATCAAATACCACCTGTGTGACTCCTGAGTGGTGGGGGCACACTGGGCCTCGCCTCCCAGAGAGACGGTCCCAGTCCTGCAAGGTCAGGGCTGCATCCTTCCCCAGGCCCCGCCCGTGGCATCACCCACAAGCGGCGGTGCCCAGTGAGGATGGTGGGTAAAGGAGTGTGGCCAGTGCTGCCTTGGGAGGGGCTGGGGTGATGGAGGCCGCACCAGAAACAGCTCTGTTTGGCAGCCCAGGGCAGGGGTTACAAGGCAGTGAAATGGGTCTTGCGTGACTACTTGTTTTCCCTCAAAGAGACTCAGATTACGTGATAGCTTTATGTGCCTTTAAAGACGTTCTGGCCCCTCCTCCACAGGAGTAAGAGCAATGCCATGACAGGCAGTAAAGGATGCCTCCTGCTCACAAGGGCCCAGAGAGGGAAGGCCCGCTACCTGCAAGACTGCAGGAATCAAAATGCTTACTTCTTCATAACTTGTTTGAGAACTATCCTTTCACTTAACCAAAATGCTCCGTAGCACCTCTTCCACGGCTAGGTCAGTTGGTGAAATACTGGCATGAAGTCTCAAGCCCCTGCCCATCCTGCCCACCTTCCCGTGACTGGTACTGCAGGCCCACCCAGTGGGCAAGCGGAAAGGCAGGATAGCTGGTGCCCCTGCTCTGAGTTCAATCCCAGCCTGCTCTTACCAGTTGTGGGCCTTTTACCCTCTCCGATCACCCACTGCTCAGGGGTGTGGCCAGGCTACATGATGGGATTGGTAAAGTGCTTAGCAGAAATTAACCATCCCTTCTCCCAAGTCCCTGGGTGGTGCAAACAGTTAACGTGCTCAGCTGCTGATTAAAAGGTTGGAGGTTTGAGTTCACCCAGAGGTGTCTCTGAAAAAAGGCTTGGTGATCTACTTCCAAAAAATCAGCCATTGAAAACCCTACAGAGCACGGTTCTACTCTGACACATATGGGGTCAGCATAAGTCAGTGTCAACTTGACAGCAACTGGTTAACTGGTCTCCTGAGCCCAGCCGGCACCAGGCTGGAGGCTCATCTTCATTTATGGAGGATGGTAAACCTGTACTTAAGTCCAAGCTTCCACTCAGCAGTTCCTCCCAGGAGGGACTCTCCTTGATGATTCCATCAACTTGTGCTGGATCCACTCGCCCGCTCCATGCACGCAACCTGTGCTACAGAAGTGCAGGTGGCGCAGCCTTCCCAGGTGGGAAATTGCAGGACTGCAGGGCGCCCTTAGCGCCCCCTCTTTGAATGCCTAAAGTCAGACCGAGCTGGAGCGGGCTTGCTCCTCAGCTTCTCCATCCTTCATCAGTGACCGGCAGCGACCTGCCAACATGGGAAATTCCCCGCACCACCCCAGGTCCGGGCCAGGTTTGTACATGAACTGCCACCAACTCACAGGGCTGACTGCTTTGGTTTCGTCATCCCTCCCTCCCCACCCATCTCCCTCAGAACACCGCATACAGGAAGCACAGGTCAGCAGAGGGAGCTTTGCCAAAGGGGCATGGACTCATTTCTTGTACCCCGGGACGTGCACTTACTTTCATCAGCGTAAAATCCCACTGGACACAGGGTCACACAGGCGCTTATCTCCTGGTGGTGGTAAAACCCCTTGCGGCAAGACAGGCACTGGGTGGGGGCCTTACCCGAGCAGGACTCGCAGCCCTTGTGACACCGGCGGCAGCGCCTTGCTGCTGTGTCCGCGAAGTAGCCTAAGGGGCACGTGCTCACGCACTTCCTGTGGGGAGCAGGGCTGTGAGGCCTTTCCAACTCAGCCCAGACCACCCTGCCGCCCGCCTGCCCTGCCAGCCATCCCCGGCCAGTCCAAGTCAGGGCAGCTGGCTTCAAAGGGTCTCCCCAAGCCTTAGGGGCCCATCCCGAGTTAACAAAACTGTGAAGGAACAAAGGCCCCAGGTGTGCATTCTGAACCATTAAAACCTGGGTCTTGGTGCAGGTGGGAGGTTTGTAGGAACATAGGTGGAGGCTCCAAGGACTCTAATGGGACCCTCTCAGTCCTTTCTTTTCAGAGTTGCCCCAGCAGGAGGGCCTCAAGCTGTGTTTGGTGTCCCGAAGGCACCAAGATGATGGTATTGACTTCTGGAGCTTTGGGCTCTGGCACCCCCTCGGGGTCTGCTGGCCACTCTCACGGCTCAGTAGGTTGAGCGCAGGTGTGTTTGGGAACTCCCCGGGTGTGAGAGAGCTGTGCCCACACGAGCTCCGCCGCATGCACTGGCCACGCCTCTGCTATGAATACTCGCGGATGTCTTTCCGCTGCTGAGGACAACACAGCCAGGATGGGGTGTTCAGGGCGGTAGGTAAGCTGCCGCCAAGCAGTGATCACCCAGTGAGAATTAGGCAGGAGTGGCGGGGCAGAGAATCCCCTCCATGGGGTGGTGGGAATGAGGCCGGATCTCCCTTTGTGCAGGATCACCCGGGTGTGGCTGAAGCTGGCAGGTGTAGCGTGAGAGAGAGCAGGTGTGTCAGATTTAGGCTGGGGTGGGGGCAGGTTTAGGGGTGGATCTGTCTGCCCAGATCTCCCCGTGGGAGGTACTCAGGAGGGTGTAAAATGAGACTGGTCCGGGAAGGCTGGATGGAGGAGGAAGAGGGTGGTGCAGAGCTGGAGGAGGGTCTACGGAGCAGAGCTCAGCGCCTGGTGGCAGGGACACACAGGAGAGCAGACTCGCTGGGAAGGGCCAACCTGGTCTTGGGCAGTTAGCCACGGCCTGGGGCCCGCAGGTCAGAGCCCCAAAGGCCTACCCCTCTGGGGGTGGCGGCAAGGCTCACCGGCCCTCTGGGGAGCTCCCAGGAGAGCATGTATAAAACTGACACCCAGCTCGTGACAAAAGACTGAGAAATGAACAAGGAGGCTCAGGCTGTGTGAGGCCACACCATCCCAGTTGGCAGTGAGGAGACAGGGTGGCTGAGTACAACACAAGCCCTAAAACCACCTTTGCATACGTTCACCAGTGGCCACCTTGGCCTGCTCAACACGACTGGTTATGGACTGAACTGTGTCCCCCCAAAAGATGTGTTGAAGTCCTCTCCCTTGCGTTGGTGAATGTGACATTGGGGAAATACGGCTTTTCTTTGTAAATGTTATCGGTTAATGAGATCATACTGGAGTGGGGGGTCCTAAACCTAACCCCTTCAGAGCAGGGGCAGATTATCCCATGCTCACCTTGCTTACCAGATCATCTGGAGTGAACAATGTCACTGCAGACTAGTAAGCACTAGTAAGCCCATGCTTACCTTGCTTACTGGGCCATCCGGCCATCAGGGATTGTAAATTTGAAAAGAGGCTTTGATTCTGTGGAAAGGTGTTGTGGGGTTGGGAGAGAGAAAGATGTTGGCCACACCTAGAAGCAGAATCTCTGATGTGAAAAAATGTGAAATTGTTCACTACAGATGATCTGGTAAGTAAGGTAAGCACTGTGCTTACCTTGCCTATTGGATAATCTGCCCCTGCTTCTGAGTGGTTTTATAAAAGAGGAAAGACATGGAGACAGAGGCACACACACAGGAGAAGACACCATATGCAGATGCATCGGCAAGCAGCAAAGGAATGTCAAGGATTGCCGGCAGCCACCAGAAGCTAGGCGGGAGGCATGGAACCCTCAGAAGGAACTGACACAGCTGATACCCTGATCTGGACTTCCAGCCTCCAGAACTGTAAGCCAATAAATTCTGTTCTTAGGATGTGGATATTCCTACATACCTATTTGTAAATGCTGCATGTATACTCATATACATAATAGAGCATATAGGGGCACAGTTATAGAAACTACTTAAATGTCAGGACCTAACTACTGGACGTGAAGGCTAAGGACCACCGTCTTGTGGGACATCTAGGTCAACTGGCAAAACACAGTTCATAAAGACAATGTTCTACACCCTAGCCTGGTGAATAGTGTCTGGGGTCTTAAAAGCTTGTGAGTAGCCATCTAAGAAGCAACAATTGGTCTCTTCCTGCCTGGAGCAAAGGAAAACGAAGAAAACCAAAGACTCAAGGAAGCAATTAATCCAAAGGACTAGTCGCCCTCATGAACGGCAGCTTCCTCTAGCCTGAGACCAGAAGAACTAGATAGTGCCCAGCTACCACTACCGACCACTCTGACCAGGATCACAATAGAAGGTTCTGGTTAGAATGGGTAAAAAATACAGAACAGAATTAAAAAAAAAAAAAAAAAAAGACCAGACTTACTGGTCTGAAAGACATTGGAGGAAACCTCAAGACTATTGCACTGACAACCTTCTAACTTGAAACTATAGACACTTTGGGAGGCCATCTTCAGCCACATAATAGACAGGACTCTAAAATAAACATCATCATCTGTGAAGAATGTGCTTCTTAGAACAACTGACTATATGAGACCAAAGGGCAACATCTGCCCAAAACCAAAGATGAAAAGACAGGGAAGGACAGGGAAACCAGACTAACGGAAATGGGGAACCCCGCTAGGAAATGGGGAGAGTGCTGACACATTGTGGGGATTGCAACCAAGGTCACGAAACAATCTGTATAAGAATCATTGATTGGAAAATTAATTTGCTATGTAAACTTTCACCTAAAGCACAATAAAATGTTAAAAAAAAATTTGTATTCTTTTAAGTCACCCACTTTGTGGTATTTTGTTATAGCAGCTCCAGGAGACTTAAAAAATACCATTTTTATTTAACAAAGATGGATAGAAAAAAAGTTTATAAATACAGACATCAAAATGCTCCGGATTTCTCTGTGATGGACATGTATTCCTTGTGTGATTACAATAAAACACCACTAGAAAAATTTCAAACCCAAAGCCGTTAACCTCAACCAGATTTCCTTCCTGAGGCGCTACATGGATTCCTGATTGCTGCATCCGGCTGTGGGGGGCTAAGGGCACAGCTGGATGGGCCTCCTGAGTGGGGCCTGGGGGCATGCAGTGGAAGCCCTGCCCGCCCCTCCCCCATTACCTGCTGGTCTTGCTGCTCCCTAGGCTGAAGTGCACACAGTTCAAGCATTGGTCTGCATTGGGGCCGTCGCAGCCTTTGTTACCACACTCTGGATGGCACATACCTTAAAGAGACAAGAATTTCCTTTCATCCCTAGAGACGCATTCTTAGCCAGATGTGAGCCCTCTGTGAGGACAGTGCAGCTGACCCAGTGGGCTAGAAGGCAGAGCTTTGCATGGGGGCCCTCTCCACGGGACCTGATGGCACTTGCAGGCTGGGCCCAGCGTGGGCTCTGTGTCGGGGTGGGCACACTGCACACAGCGATTCCATGACAGCAAGTGAAATAGCCAAGGGGAGGTGGGTGTGGGACCAAGGTCAGTGAAGAGACAGAACTGTGATAGCCGTGAAGCAAGGTTGCAATGAGGAGGCAGAGCTTTATCCTGTAGCTTTTGTGCAGGATAAGGTAGCCAGGATTGGGTGTTTAGGGAGTTAGGTAGCTGCTCCCAAGAAGCGATCATCCGACATGAATTAGGCAGAGAATTCCCTACCCGGGTAGTGGGGATGAGGATGAATGTCCCTGTGTTCAGGACCCCTGGGTATGGCTGTGCTGGGCAGTTGTGGGGTGCTTCATGCCTGGACAGGGGTCTGCCTGGGCTGGCTCCTTTCCAGCAGACCTCCTTTTTGGCTTCCCTCACTCTAGCCCTCAGCGGCGGGCCCTGGAGTCTCCTCCGGTCCCCAAATCCTAACCCTAGGGCCTGTGTTGTGGGGGAAGTGATGGAGAAAAACACAGGAAGGCTCAGTGGACTCTACAAACCTCGCCCCTCTGGGTACTGCCCTCTAGTATGCCACAAAGAGGAGCCCCATTTTAAACTTCTCACCCCCCTGAGGTAGGTAGGGGCACTGTCTGCAGCCGGGCTTGGGGTTCTGAAGAATGCAGACTCCTGCTTGCACCATGACCTACCAAAGCTGGTGTTGAGATGGGGTCCTCCTGCCCAACCTGCCCACCTGTCCCTCCTACACCAGGTATACGCGTCAGCAAAACCTCATCACCTCACCAGATGGATAGCTCCACTGGATAGGTAAGGGGAGGGCTTAAAGGGGCATTGAGCCTTTGGAAGAAAAACCTACAGAAGTTTTAGTTGTTTGAGAGGGTGGGGCATGAGTTCAGAAGCAAAGAGGAGACAATTTGCTGGTCACCAGGATTTCACAGGGGACTCGAGAGGAAGAAAAAGCCCCCACTCTCTGCTGCCCATAATAGGCCTCCTTGCTGAGCCGCACAAAGCCTCCTTTATTCACCTTTAAGAGTCTGTAGACCTTCCTGAAGTTACAGCTGCTGTGTTTTGCTCCCTTCCCCAAAGGTTTGCCAGTTGATGTTTCCAGAGTTTTCTTTGTGAGTCCTCCTCACCTGCCCCCCAATTCAAACTGCTCTCAGTGCTCTAGACCCATCTCCCCTGGCCTCGGGTGTGCAGGGGTGATGGAGTCCATGCTGAAGTTCTGTGTTCTACTACACATTCTTGCCATTTCCAAAGCTTGTCATTGAGCCAACCTTCCCCGCTTCTCAGCACCCCCTGCAACTTTTCAGCTTCATTCTGTTTTGGATAAGAATTGGCTAATTCTCATCTCCACTCATTTCAGCGGATTTAATTCTTGCTTGACTTCATCCTAAACCATCTGTGAAGGTATCCATGGAAATGCCTTGTTGCACTGCACCATGGTGTTTAATCACCCATTGAGCCTAACACACACATGCTTGGGCACTGGGCTCTGGCCCTGCAGTGGCCTCGATGACACAGGTGACCAATGACCCCCTGACCTTCCCCCTGCCCGTGCTTGCTCCATAGGGCTCCATCTATTTGATAACAGTGAACAGTTGCCTCAAATCTTCAGGTTTTTGGGGCACAGGGAGGAGAGACCAATGTCTTCAATCCTTACAGGCACAGGGGGTTTTGTCCAGTTTGTTCACTGCTATACCCAGCTCCCAGAACCATGTGAGCATTTGCCAACTGATGGAAGGATGAGTGAATGGATGAAAGGAGAGGGGATGGAAAGAGGGAACCATCTGCACACAGAATGCTTGCTGCCCAGGACTGGATGGCCTGGGAGGGGCCGGAGGCAGGCTTCCAGCTAGTGGCCCATAACCTGCCAGGAGTATTTTTACTGGCTCCCCTCCCTCTCACTGTGCATGGACCTCATCCCCAGCCTACTCTCTTCCCCTCTCTCCGGGGTCTGTGGAGGAGAACTTCATCAATAATGCTTAGAGGACGCCCTCTACAAGGCTAGGCCCATACAACAGCAAGAGCAGAAGGTGACCCAGCACCATGCTGGAAAGGCTGGGTTAAACATGGCCATCCAGGAGCCAAGATGGTGGCTTAGTCACACACACTATAATGTCTCTCTAGAGCAAATACCCAAAAAACCAAGTGAGACAGAAACAGATAACAATCTGGGAACCCTAAACATCAAAAAAGAAGACTTAAGAACTGAACTGAACACTGACTGGAAGGAAAAAATGAGTGAATGCAGTGAATGAGGAGTAACACAGAACAGAGGAGCTCAGCTATCTTAGGACAAAGCCAGCAGTGACCCCAGGTGAAGAAAACAGCAAGGCAACTTCATGACTTTCCCAAAAGGGACAGAGAAACTCTACAGACACACAGAGAAAGCAGCAGAGCCAGGGAGCAAGCCAAGATCCAGAACCAGAGATACTCAGGAGTGGTGGCCCCTGATCTCAGGGGTGAGTAGTGCACACGAGGTGGTGGACTCGTGCAATGTCAGCAGAAGGTCTCCCACTCAACTGGTCCCTGGGCAGCCCCCTCCCCACACTCAAGAGGGGACAGGTCCCACTCTCTGGCTGCAGCAGACACAAGGTGTCCCAGCACCTGCGTATCCTAGCCAGAGAGATGAACTCCCCATCACCTTATCCTCCTGATTGGAGGTGGTGGAGGGTCCCATACCCCAACCACCTTGCCTGACCAGGGGACCACAACATGAGCCTCTCCTCTTGCCTCCTACCCCACCCAACGCCATCCACTACCCACCGCTGCCCACCCGATGAGCGAGACTAGGCAAACCCCATGTTCATACCTGACTGCCACCTATACCTCCCCCAAGGGCCTGGTGATGGTCAGTGGTGGGTGGCAAGACAGTGAGAGAGCCTGCCTGCTGCTCCATTTTCCTCCCCCGCTGCCCAGTGAGGGACAGAGGAGATGTGACTGCATGTGCATCCACCTGCAGCCCCTTCCTTCCCCCTCCTGCCTAGTGCAAGGCAGAAGAGGTGCTACTGGGCATGCATCTGCACAGAGTGATTCCCTCCCTTAATCCGCCCAGTGAGAGGTGGAGGAGCTTCGACTGAACATGCACCCCCGAGGCCCTTTCCTCTCTCCTCCTGCCCAGCATGAGGCAGAAGCGGAGTGAGTGTGTGCATAACTGGCACCTGCACCTTCCTCCCTCACCCTGCCCACTGACAGGTGGATGCAGCGTGACTGTGCACACATCTGCCTGTTGTTCCTTCCTCCCTTCCTCCACCCAGGAAGAGGTGGAGGTAGTGGGACTGCGCGTGTGTCCATCCATTGCACCCCTCTACCACCCACACCTCTGCCCCAACTGGCTAGAGGTAACAACCACGCCCCTACTCACCCACCACACCCACAACACTGGCCCCTCTACCTTCAAGAAGAGTACTACTCCCCACTCCTGCGCCACTAAACCTAAGACAGACAGAGGCTAAAGCCCAACCAACCCATCCTGCCCTGCAAGACCACTTATCAGAGACCTGAGCTCCCACACCTACCCACTGCCCCACTCGCCTGGAGGCAGGTAGGGAGCACTCCAGCATGGCCAGTCCAGCGAACAGAGAACCACGCTAGCCATGCCTGTCAGGAATCATCAAAACAAAACAAAAAACAGTATCTGGCAAACAATTATACAATTAAAAAATACAGTAACTCCTTAATGTCCCAGAGACAACAGATAATAGCAAACTACCTAAAGAAGCAGGGCAAGATGGCCCCAGCAAGTGAACAAAATAAAGAACCAGAAAACCTCCCTGAGGAAGAAAAGGTAATGGAGCTTCCTGATAAGGAATTCAAAAGACTTATGTATAGAGTCTTCAAAATAATTACAGACAAACTACGGAAAACACAGACAAAAACAAGGAAAGCACAGACAAAATGTTACAAGAATTTTGGAAAATAATACAAGAACAAAGTGACAAAATAAACAGACAATTTGGAAACCATACAAAAACAGCAACTAGAAATCCAGAAACCTAATAATAAAATTTCCGAAATAGACAACTCAATGGAAAGTCACAGGAATAGAATTGAAACAATGGAAGACAGGATCAGCAGAATAGAAGGCAAATCCCTCGACAGTACTCTGTTCAAGGAACAATTAAAAAAAAAAAAGAGAATGAAGAAAAATGAAGAAAGCCTAAGAGTTATGTGGTACGCTATCAAGAGGAATAACTTACACGCGATCGGAATCCCAGAAGGGGAGGAGACAACAAAAAGCACAGAGAGAATTGCTGAAGATTTGCTGACAGAAAACTTCCCTAATATCATATCATGTAAGATGAGAAGATAACCATCTGAGAAGCACAACAAACCCCATACAGGATAGATCCCAAAAGAAGAACACTGAGATATATCATAATCAAACTTTACAAAACCAAAGACAAGGAGAGAATCCTGAAAGCAGCTCAGGAAAAATGAAAGATCACCTACAAAAGGGCACCAATAAGACTAAGCTCTGATTACTTGGCAGAAACCATGTAGGCAAGAAGGCAATGGGATGACATATATAAAATCTTGAAAGAAAAAAAATTACCAACCAAGAATTTTACCTCCATCAAAATTACCCCTCAAATGGTGAAATCAGGACATTTCCAGATAAACAGAAATTAAGGGAATTTGTAAAAACCAGACCAACTTTACAAGAAATGTTACAGAGAATTCTTCCTACAGAAAACTAGTAACATCAGACAACAACTTGAGATTAAAACACATGACAACATCAGCCAGATAGCTACACAGATAAAGAACTCTCAAAAATAAAATAAAGCTAAAAGAAAACAGGGAACCAGAGACGTCAATCTTAATTGACAACCACTTCAAAACATAAAAG